GGAAAGTCTACAGGTGACTGTCAGAGTGGTGGGGTCTACAGGTGACCATCAGGGTGGTGGGGTCTACAGGTGACCATCGGGATGGTAGGGTCTACAGGTGACTATTAGGGTGGTGGGGTCTACAGGTGACCATCAAGGTGGTAGGGTCTACATGTGACCATTGGGGTGGTGGGGTAGCCATTTGCTGTCTGTGCATAAGAACTAGCTCCAATCCCCTCCATTGTCAAATATGATCCTGAGAGCAGGAAACTAGGGATAGCTGAAGATTCCCCAAGGAAAGGCCTCAAGTCAGGGTACTGCATGCTGCCCTTCTGACATCAATGCCTCTCTTTCTGTTTTGTAAGGAGTGGCTTCACTTCGGCATGTCTCTTTTAATTATCTGTAACATCCTCTCTTTCCTCAACATCAAAGAGACTTCTTACTTCCCTACCTTAACTTTCCCAGCTGACATCCTGTGGTGCACTGGAGCACCTACCGGCTCTGGTCGCTGGAGGCATGGGCTCTCACCTCCATCACATGGGTCTCAATATTAGAATACATACATAGCATAGCTACATCTTCTTGAGGGTTTTCTAAAGGAGAAGAAGCTATAATGTCCTCCTTTCTTTGCCTTTGGAAGGCCAAGGCCAGGAGGAGCGATGTCAGAGCCATATTCTCATGTAGGGGCTGCAGTTTGAAGGGAACCGATGCCACATACTTCAATGAGGACAACTAAAGAGCTCTGGGCTCCGGGGGTGTGGCTGTTGCCAGGTGCACAGGCGGTGGAGGCCCAATTTTGCCTTGTTTTCTCTAGATGTTTGGGTTTACAATTTACGTTTCTGCACCTCTTCACACCTAAACTGCATTCACAGGTCCAAATCTCCTCTGGAGGTTGATCATCCCCTCTTCCAGGCCCTCCAGCCTCCAGCAACAATTCCTCCTGTGGCCTTGACGACCACCGAGAGAGCCACTGAGAGCCACACAGAGCACAGCTCCCCGTGTCTAACACACACACTGCTGGTCTCATCTGACTCTGTGTGTGTCTGTAAGACTTTCTGCATTTGTTGTCCATTTCAGCACATTTATGTACTCCGCTCCCCACTTTTAAAACAAAAATCTCAGTTGGAAATACATGTACTATCCTAAAAAT